CAATCATTCCCAGGCATGGGATCAATAGTTCAAGGGTCCACGTCGTGAACAAACGACCGAGGTCTGGGGTGAGAAACAGTCCGCCAGCCCCCTTGCGGGGCCATCGGGCTGCGAGGATTAGGCTTGCTGCTCCCTGCTCCAGTTCTAGTTTTCAGTGTCCATTGTGATAGTTCTACCTTCTGCTTCCTATTGTAAACTGGTGACGCGAAGGGGGGGGAACCGAAAAACAGCCTGGTTCGCGCCCCCCTGGGTTCCCAGAACTCTTGCGGGGGCGCGGGACAAGTAAAAATACACGAGAATCGCGCCCCGCGGCCATAAACCTTTTGCAAAATACAACATATTCGTGTTCCCGAAGCCACAGGCTCGTTTGAATTATGTTGTTTTCGCGTCCCCCAATCCAGACATTTTAATCCATGATTCAATAATCGCGTCCCCGAGGCCACGAACCCTCGCACATTTCACAATATTCGCGTCACTGGGGCCATCATCCCTTGTAAGTTACGCAATTTTCGCGTCCCCGAGGCCACAAGCCTTCATACATTATACAATATTCGCGTCCCCGAGGCCATTATGTTCAGAAGTTGCGCAACATGCGCGTCCCCAAAGCCACAAACCCTCGTAAAGTATGCGATCTTCGCGCCCCCGTCTCGTAAATTAGGCAACATGTTTGTCGTCGAAGCCCTCGTACACAGCACAGTATTCGCGCCCACGAGGCCACGCTGCCTCGTGAATTGCAAACTCTTTGCGTCCCCGAGGCTACGATTCCTCACAAATCACCCCCGAGAAGCGCCCAAACCGCCTCCAAGAGGCCCTCTTGTGGGGCTCCCCGTGGCACCTCAACACAGATACAAGAGGACTGATACCCACAACTCACAGGCACGGTGGCGGGATGGGCCGAAGGCCACTAGGATGACGCCAACGTCTCTATAATGCGCTGATGACTCCTATCCGCCCCCGCATGATGTTCCCAGATGCGCCAAGGCAGCGCCGCACCCACGCGACTCTGATATATCCCACTCTGATAAAGAGGGGGCCGGCGGCAGGGGGCGAAGCCCTTACGGATCATCAACGATGCTTCGGCGAGCTATCGGACAATATCTAAATTTAAAGCGGAGCTAGCCCCCAACAATCTTCGGGAGCGGCCAAGAGGGGGGTGTCCAAGAGGGGGGGGTGCCAATCATGACCGGCGGCATGTGCGCGGCCCAGGGGGGGGGGCCAGGGACGTAATGAAACACGAAGAGGCGCCATGAAATCTGGGAAGATATCATGGCCACGCCATGACCTTCCCCGCCCCTAGTCATCACCCCCCTCTTTCCGCCCCCGAAATCTGGAACAACATGCTGAATCATGGGTGCCACATCGAGCCGGTGCTCCGACAAGCCGATGTCACAGCACTGGGCCAATCTAGCGATGGACGGTTTCTAAGACATCTGCCAGGCTCCGAGAAAAAATGCGTGGGCGTGCTGTTGTTTGAGGAGGCAGAGGAGGGGCAATATACGCAGAGGAGGTAAAGGAGAATGAGGACCAGGAGGCAAATACTCGCACAGAGTTTCTGGTCTGACTGACTTCGGCAACAGTTCTCAATGCAGGCGTTCAGAGCAAGCACACATCCACTTTTTTCCTTCTGCATATGAAAAACAAGATACCACGAAAAGAACTCCGAACGGCCTTCTTCAGAACAAAGAGTAACACGTCGATACCACCAGGGGCTCGATCAGCAAAGCCAGCGAACTTGTCCATGTTTTGGGTCTTATCCATCCTGGCGTGCAGCGGGAATGAAGGAGGAAAGAGCAAAATCGTCGCTTTCGTGGTGCATCGTAGAACTCCCACGCGCTAGCACAGTAACGCACACTTTTTCGACGACAAACGCTCCATCAACGATAGCTGCACAACATCTCGACAAGATAACGCCATCGCGTAAGATAGAGGAGCCGACGAGAGAAACCCTCCGGACGAGGAGGAGAAGGAGGAGCAACAGAAGCGAGGACAGGAAACGGGGTTGCCACCATTGGCCCACACAGCCTGGTAACTTAAAGGTGACCAGAACAGATCGATACGCACACCCAGAAGCATCGCATCGGCGCCATGCGGAGAAGAGACGAAAGAAGAGGAAATCAGAGAGGGGTGCTCGAGACACTGGCTTCCCCCTCACAAATGTAAATGTGGCGATGTTGCTCCCCATCGTGCTGGCCCTGGTGTGCGAGTCGCGCCGCTTTTCTTGTGTTGTTGCGCAAAATTATGCTGCTGGCACCCGTGCTGCTGCTCCGTGAAGAAGTGGCAGCGGAGGGGGCAGGATAGCGCGCGCTGGAGGTTGAAGCGATTGAGGCAGCAGGCAGCCATGCTGCCAGCTGGGAGTATCATGGTTCTCCCGTATTCGTATATGAACGTAGGTGGAGGACACTGCGCTGGGCAGTGGAGATAGACCGCGTGGAAGAACATTGCCTAGAACGTGTCGTCGAAGGCGGGGAAACCAAAGGTGGGGGACGGGCAGAAGGCCCGCCGTCACGGGGTTTGCGTCCAGCCACGCCGTAGAAGCCGTTCCGCAGAGGTGTGCCCACCCACCGCTTGCCGCAGATATTGCTGCAGAGTGAATCTACGTCGGCGGGACTTCGGCCCAGCAGATCGACAACATGTGGTCCATTTCCTGACTCCAATGCGCTGCCAGAGCGGCTGCACCCTTCTCCAATTTGGGTTGTAAGCGACCCCTCGTGGCGTCGATCGGCCCGAACTTGAGCGGCTGCCCAAGCTTGAATCACCAGATTTTGGCCGCAATGCTCTCGCGCCTGGCCGCGGCTGCTGAGTCGGGAAGCTGCAGCAAGTCCCTGTTCAGCCCCATCGACGTGTGCCAGCTCGACGATGAAGTCCTGGAGACGCTCCACTGCCTCCGCGAAGCCCATGAATGGGATCCCTTGCGCTAGCGCGTCGCGAGATCTCTGGGCACTCTCGAATTGCTCGCTCGACTGCCAGCGGGCGCCCAATCTCCGCCGCCCAGAAGCACCGGATGACGGCACCGAAGCAGTCCTATGCTAGCACATCAACGCACGCGTTTGGCACGTGCTGTCGGCATCTGGGGCACTGCTGCCACCTGCCACAACCCGCTGGAAGTCGATCGCTTCGGGAACAAGAAAGCGGTTCCTTTCATTGCCTAGTGAAGACAAGCGACAAATTGCAACCGGTTGTAGTGCTCTCGCTGCGTGCCGTGCTCATCGGGGTCAGAACTCCATCAGAAATCTTCAGGCTGTTAGATCCCTACGCAATGGCAAGCAAAGTGAGGCCGATGTGCAGACAGTTGACGCCCACACTGTGATGCTCAGGTTTCAATGCAGTGTTGTGTGTGCATGCGCGTGGACAGAAATATGAAGTTTCCTCACAAGCTCAAGCCCCGCTCAACACCCAAGCGCACCATATGCGTGTGCGCGCAGATTTGCCCGTTGTGAGAGTAGAGTGAACAACACCACTGGGGAAGTACGCACATCCCTCCAACAAGGCGTTCACGTGCTAGCTCTTGCATGGGTCGCCGAGCGCGACGACGATGAATCACGGGTGGATTCGAAGCGAAACGTAGCAGGACGCAGACGGAAACAGGACCGCTGGCCTACCCGAGACGCAACTATCGCAGACCTGAGTCTGCTAAGGCAGTCGAATGCGCCAGAGATGCTGACATACGGGAATAAGGATAGCCTAAGATATGGAACGCCTGGGTTGGAAATGATTGCCACAAAGGCACCACGCCAACCCACTGGTGATTGGGCCGGTGCAATCCATCTAAGGCTTGATCGCACCAAGGTGAGAAAGGAAACGCACAGAGATGCCGACCTACGGGACCTCGCTTGTATCCAGAGAAGCCACGCGGGAGACCCGCAGGGCGTCCCCCGGGAAGGGCACCAGGCGTACTATTGATCTCGCCCATGGAGCGCGCTGCAAACGTCTGCAGCGCGCGCGCGTGTGTACGCCATCTTGCGCGTGTATCTGGTGGATCCACGCGTCCCTTGGTGCAATGCGCAGACGAACACGCTTTTCAATCCGTGCGTGATCATGGACACACAGGCCGTCTGCGCGTGCACGGAACTGCGCACAACAGCTCACGGCGGCCAACAGTGGCACACCCCACAGACGCAGACGCACGAGCAAGCACGCGCACACGCGGCACCCACACACTCATTCACACACACACCCTACCTTCTGCCCAATCTCACTTATACGCTCATTCGCTCACTCATGCACTCTCGCGCTCATTCACCCACTCTCTCGCTCATTCTCCAAACTCTCTCATGCAATCCATACATTCAATCACTCACTCAACTTGTTGTCCGCGTGCCACTGCGTCGCGGTCCGCGGATCAGCATGTCGCTCTTGACTTCCAGTGATATCGTGTTGACAATGTGTTAACTAGTGTGCCCGAACCCGAGCTGCAAGTAGAGATCGCCGAACACTGAACACATCAACCGCCCCACGGTATGTGCCTCAACAAGGGAGCCCGGATCGGGAGGGTCGCACAGCTCATGAGGAAGCAGCGGGGGATGACGGCACAAGCAGGAAGAGAGGGGGGAACTGCGCATGCACGTTTCTCTCTCCCTCTCTCACCACAATTTGATGCGTAGTTTTCCTTCCGTCTCAGAAGCCCACGGAACACTCGCGAGAACTAAAACATACCCCAGACCCCAGACTGCTATCACCAGCTCCCCTGAAGAACCCACGAGACTCCTGGACGGCCCAAGAAGACCCCACCACGGGCCTACGACAAGGCTTCCTCTTGCTCTTCCTCCTCCTGCTCCTCTCTCTCCTGTAGTTCGCTGTCTTCCTTCTCCGCTGCCTTCTGAAGGGCCCCAGATCTGAGACTCATATTTAAGCTCCCCAAAGACACCAAGGCGCCACAAGACACACCTCGGGGGCCCCAAAGAGATCCCACGACAGGCTTCCAGGGTCTGGGGAACCACAATTTGATGCGCAGTTCTCCTTTCGTCTCAGAAGCCCACAGAACACTCGCGAAAACTAAAACATACCCCAGACCCCAGACTGCTATCACCAGCTCCCCTGAAGAACCCACGAGACTCCTGGACGGCCCAAGAAGACCCCACCACGGGCCTACGACAAGGCTTCCTCTTGCTCTTCCTCCTCCTGCTCCTCTCTCTCCTGTAGTTCGCTGTCTTCCTTCTGCGCTGCCTTCTGAAGGGCCCCAGATCTGAGACTCATATCCAAGCTCCCCAAAGACACCAAGGCGCCACAAGACACACCTCGGGGGCCCCAAAGAGATCCCACGACAGGCTTCCAGGGTCTGGAGAACCACAATTTGATGCGCAGTTCTCCTTCCGTCTCAGAAGCCCACGGAACACTCGCGAGAACTAAAACATACCCCAGACCCCAGACTGCTATCACCAGCTCACCTGAAGAACCCACGAGACTCCTGGACGGTCCAAGAAGACCCCACCACGGGCCTACGACCAGACTTCCAGCCTCCATCAGCTCAGCACTCCGACCTCTAGCGTCCGGCATCCGACTTTCCACCTTCACCTCCACTCCAGCGTCCACCAACTCTGCGCCCTGAGCCCCGCCCCGGGCGCTACCGCGCACTCGCCTCGCCTCGCCTCCGCTCGCACAATTCCCACACACCTCATTGAACAATTGTGTTCTCGCCCGCGCCCAGAAACATCGTAGGTGCAAGGATCAAGATTAGAAGGCGAAGCGCAGCGAGCCTTACAATCTTGATCCTTGCACCTACGATGTTTCTGGGCGCGGGCGAGAACACAATTGTTCAATGAGGTGTGTGGGAATTGTGCCAGCGGAGGCGAGGCGAGGCGAGTGCGCGGTAGCGCCCGGGGCGGGGCTCAGGGCGCAGAGTTGGTGGACGCTGGAGTGGAGGTGAAGGTAGAAAGTCGGATGCCGGACGCTAGAGGTCGGAGTGCTGAGCTGATGGAGGCTGGAAGTCTATAGGTGGAAGTCCCACCAGCCCTTTAGGGCTACGGTGGTATAACGAGTTTGGTCTTCTCTCTTCCCCTTCCTTCCCCTGCTCGGGGGAGGGGCAACCTTCCCCTGGACCTGGAGGGGGGGGGGGGATGGAGGCGTTAGAGCGTCCAAGATGGCTCAAGATGGCTCCAAGAGGCGCTCCAAGTCGCAAGATGGCCTCCAAGATGGCCCAAGATACCTCAAGATGGGTCAAGATAGCCTCCGACACACCTCCAACAGTCCTCAAGACGGATCCACGTGCCCTTCGAGCCCTCCGCGGCGCCCTCCAAGAAGCCAAAACCCTTCAAAAGCCTAAGGAAAGCCAATGTGTTTGGCATTCTCGTCTTTTCGCTTCCGATGGGCCCCTGAGGCATCAAGATGGCCCCAAGATGGCCCAAGAGAGCCCCAAGAGGGGCCCAAGAAGGCCCAAGACGGCCCCAAGATCGCCCAAGAGGTTTCCAAAGAGCGCTCCAACACGTCCCCAAGACGCCGTTTGAGAGCCTCCGAGGGGGGGACCTGAACTGAGGACCCCCGCTCTTTTTGAACAATGGGGCCCAAGACGGGCCCGAGAGGCCTCCCAGCCTCTCCTGAAGATTCTCCACCCCGCCCTTTTTGGCCCAAGATGGCTCCAAGAGAGCCCTAGATATCCCAAGAGTGCCTCCAAAATGGCCCAAGATAGCCAAGCATGGCTCAAGATAGAGCCTCCGACAGATCTCCAAGAGGCCTCAAGACAGCCTGAATATGGCCCAACATAGCCGAGCATGGCTCAGAATAGTTTCCGACAGCCTCTAGCCGAGCATGGCTCAGGATAGCCTCCAAGAGGCCTCGGGAAAGCTGGCAATCAATTCTGGACGGGCCGGTGGGGATACGCGAAGCGTCGTCTGGGGTCTGGGGTATGTTTTAGTTTTCGCGAGTGTTCTGTGGGCTCCTGAGACGAAAGGAGAACTGCGCATCAAATTGTGGTTCCCCAGACCTTGGAAGCCTGTCGTGGGATCTCTTTGGGGCCCCCGAGGTGTGTCTTGTGGCGCCTTGGTGTCTTTGGGGAGCTTGGATATGAGTCTCAGATCTGGGGCCCTTCAGAAGGCAGCGGAGAAGGAAGACAGCGAACTACAGGAGAGAGAGGAGCAGGAGGAGGAAGAGCAAGAGGAAGCCTTGTCGTAGGCCCGTGGTGGGGTCTTCTTGGACCGTCCAGGAGTCTCGTGGGTTCTTCAGGGGAGCTGGTGATAGCAGTCTGGGGTCTGGGGTATGTTTTAGTTCTCGCGAGTGTTCCGTGGGCTTCTGAGACGGAAGGAGAACTACGTATCAAATTGTGGTTCCCAGACCCTGGAAGCCTGTCGTGGGATCTCTTTGGGGCCCCCGAGGTGTGTCCTGTGGCGCCTTGGTGTCTTTGGGGAGCTTGGATATGAGTCTCAGATCTGGGGCCCTTCAGAAGGCAGCGGAGAAGGAAGACAGCGAACTACAGGAGAGAGAGGAGCAGGAGGAGGAAGAGCAAGAGGAAGCCTTGTCGTAGGCCCGTGGTGGGGTCTTCTTGGACCGTCCAGGAGTCTCGTGGGTTCTTCAGGGGAGCTGGTGATAGCAGTCTGGGGTCTGGGGTATGTTTTAGTTCTCCCGAGTGTTCCGTGGGCTTCTGAGACGAAGGAGAACTGCGCATCAAATTGTGGTTCCCCAGACCCTGGAAGCCTGTCGTGGGATCTCTTTGGGGCCCCCGAGGTGTGTCTTGTGGCGCCTTGGTGTCTTTGGGGAGCTTGGATATGAGTCTCAGATCTGGGGCCCTTCAGAAGGCAGCGGAGAAGGAAGACAGCGAACTACAGGAGAGAGAGGAGCAGGAGGAGGAAGAGCAAGAGGAAGCCTTGTCGTAGGCCCGTGGTGGGGTCTTCTTGGACCGTCCAGGAGTCTTGTGGGTTCTTCAGGGGAGCTGGTGATAGCAGTCTGGGGTCTGGGGTATGTTTTAGTTCTCGCGAGTGTTCCGTGGGCTCCTGAGACGAAAGGAGAACTGCGCATCAAATTGTGGTTCCCCGGACCCTGGAAGCCTGTCGTGGGCCCTCTTCGGAGCCCCCTTGGTCTGTCTTGGCACCCCTGGTTGCTTTTGGGGAGCTTGTGATAAGAGTATGTGGTCTGGGGCTTTTGACGAGGCAGCGGAGGAGGAAGACAACGAACTACAGGAGGAGCAAGAGGAGCAGGAGGATAAAGAGCCGGAGGAGGAGGAGCAGCAGAAGGAGGTTGGGAGGAGATTTCCGAAGAGTTGGTGTCGAGAGTTAGGTTGGAACCTTCTTGGACTTTCTTGGGGATGTCTTCAGAGCCTCGAAGGAGGAGATTTCCGAAGAGTTGGTGTCGAGAGTTAGGTTGGAACCTTCTTGGACTTTCTTGGGGATGTCTTCAGAGCCTCGAAGGAGCAGCTGGAGGAGGATCAGGAGAAAACCTCCTGAGAAAATGAGTATCAGTTTTCGTATCCCGGAGTCGGTGGAGGCAAATGAGGAGAGGGCGATGGAGGAGGAGGAGGAGGACGAGGAGGAGGAAGGCGACGAGTTCGAGGGAAGAAGGAGGTTGAGGAGGGGATGAGGGGCAGAGAGGGGGAAACGGAGGAGGAGGAGGTAGAGAAGGACGAGAGATGGGCTGTCGGACGTCCGAGTAGGTCATGCCGAGAGTTATCTTGGAACCCTCTTGGGCTCTAGTGGGGATGTCTGTACGGCCTCATGTGCCGTCTTGGGGCGAGGTTGAGAAGAACTAGGGGCGATGGGGGGGGCCGCTCAGGTCAATCAGAGTGTAAAGAATTTGACGGCTCTAAGACTGAGTGGAGCTCCTGTTGGTGCTTTTGTATACCATCGGAGGGCCTTCTTGGGCTGTCCTGGGGCCCTCGTGGGCTGTCTGGGGGGGCTTGGGCCGTCCTGGGGCCGTGTTGGGGCTCTCTCGGGCCCTCTCTGAAGCATTTCGTGACTCTGTTGGAGCCCTCTTGGGGGTCTTTTAGGGGTCTCTTGGGCGCTCCCTGGCTTTCTTTGCGCTTTATTGACCCATCTTGGGGCCCCATTGGGCCGCCTGGAAGCCATTTCGGGGCGACCTCGGAAGCTCGCAGATCATTATTGGGCCGTTCGTGGCCAGAAAAGGCGAGAAGCACAGAATCGTTCAAAAATAAATGGAAAATTAAGGTTTTTGGCCTGCTGAGGCCGTGTTGGAGGTCTTTGCGGGGGCATCCTGGACAGTCTTGAGCCCATGTTTGGTCCTGTTGGAGCACTATGGGGCCGTCTTGGGGCCTCTTGGGCCTTGCAGAGGACGTCTCGGAAGTGCCTTCTGCTGTCTTGGGCTCCCGATGTAGGCCTCGTGTCGCTCTCTTCGGGGTATTTTGGGCCGTCTCGAAGCATTGTGGGGCTCTCTTGGGAGCCTGTGGGGTTCATCTGGGGTCCATGTGGGGGGGGGTGTCGGTGACATGCCGGGTTTTTCCTTGTAATTTGATAGGTAGAAGGAATATATGTCACAAGTGCACGCGCACGCGCGCACTGCGTGTGCCTTCGCCGCCGTGCCGCGAGGCACGGCTTGAGTGTCCTCGGGTCCCTCCGAGTCCTCCGTCTGGAGGGTCGTGACTTATTTTCGTGGCCCCGGACCCCGTTTTCGGGGATCGCCGCGCGACTTTTCTCAGGCCCTGGGGGCGTGGACTCGGAGCCCAAGCCTCCAACATGGCCCGCGATCGCCCAAGGGCCCGTCCTGGAGGCCTCGGCCACCCTCCTTGAAGATCATTTTTTGGAGTTTGGCATGCTCGACTTCTGGGCTTCAAGAGCGCTCAGCAGTGTCCACGAGGCCGCAGAGATCGTGCCAAGACGGCCCCCGAGGACCCCAAGCAGGGCCCAAGGGCTCCCCAAGAGGGACCCGAGAGAGGGACTCGAACGAACAGTCCTAGCCCGTCTCCCCAAGATGGCCCCCGAGACCGCCTGCAGGACCCCCAAGAGGCTTCCAAGAGGCCCCAGGAGGCCCCAAAGAGGCCCTCCAAGAGGGCCCCACGTCTCTCCGTGGGGCCCCCCGAGGAGGCCCGCCACGAGCCCTCCATGTGGCCTCCGGTCCACGATCCTGGCACGGTGGCGGGATGGCCGAAGGCCGCTGGATGGCATGCACGCGCACGACATTTAGGTCGGGCATGTCCTCCGAAAAGTAAAACATAGTCAAAGAGCAGTCACACACAGTCGAGGGAGCACGACACAGGGTCACCAGACTATTTTCCTACCGTTCTTGAGATTACCCCTGTATGGGGGACATGCCCGACTTAACATGACAGCGACGTCTGTAGTGTGCTGCAACGAGGACCGGGCGGCGCAGCCAACAGGATGCCGCTCCTGGTGTCGAGGAAGCCGATCGTGTCGATTGCCCTTGGCCCACCCTTCGTCAACGCTGGCTGCCCAATGCCTTTGATCATGCTCCTCCGTGGGTCCGTCCCACTCGGGTCCGAAGGCGGCCAAAGGCTTACCATGCTATCCTGCCGCCGCTTCAAGACCAGGTGCACTCTCCGGCACTCCTGCCCTCCTGAGCCGCCACCGTTCCCCCCTCCCGTGCGCCCGCCCATCTTGCATTGTTCCCTTTCAGGCCGGGCTTGGTCGGATCTTGGAAACCCGGCAGCAGACGTGGGACCAGGATTTTGTGGGAGAGCGCTTCCGTGAACTAGATTGTAGCCCCCGCTGGGCACAACCATCGTCACTACTCGAGGTACGTGCTAGAGATCATCGCCGAAACTTCTGCTGAATTGATGACCTTGAGATTGCAGGGGGGACGAATCTTGATCGGAATTCTTTATTTGCGTCATATGGTGTATTTGTTCCTTTGTGCGTATTCTCAGTTGGATTGGTTGTGTTGTCTTACTTAGTTCGGCGCTTGCTGTCGTTGTCACCAATGATTCTGGTTGCTCGTAAAAATTTGATCGATGGCATTCGATCAGATCGTTCTCTTTTGTGATGAGCCAGTACTCTAATTGACGGAATCCGTTGGTTTTTCGACTGTGATCAACTCAATATCGGAGTCGGCTGCGGTTGGATTGTGGTTATGCTTGTGCACGCCTTGCTTTCTTCTTTGCCATCCGTCTCTCAGCATTGTGTGCTCTGAATCTCTGACATGCTCGCCTGGCCAAATCCTCCTCTAATACTACCTGCCCTAATTTTCTCCTGATTTTCTCTCCCTTGGCTCGTCCAGTCCCGCTCTTTCCCCACCCCTGCCCCCTGGCTCTTCGGACTTCCCCCGCTCTGGCTTGCTCCTTCGCTTTTTGGCTCCTCGTTTGTCAGGCAGACAACAAATCCGTTCCTCCGTCTGTGCTGTTACAGCTGCCGAGCTCTCTGTTAATTGAAAACTCCTCGAAGGAGTGGTGACCTGCCCGATGATGGCGGGTTTCCCTGCGTGATTTTCCTGGCCTGCGAGGCTTCACCGTCCCTGCCATGGCTGTCCGCAAACCGCAAAGTCAAAGTTGACGGCTTACCGTCACTACCCAATTCAGGACGCCCCCTCCCTTCCGGCGTTCCTTCCAGCTGGCTGTTCGGGGATGGACGCAACCCCCTTTAGCAAAATGTGGTTTAGTGGAAACGACCTCGTGCCCAAACCTGGCGGGCGCAAACCTGGAAAACGACGGCCGCGGCACCCTCTCGAGAACCGAAAATGGACAATACAATACAATAATCGACGTGTCAAGGTGGGGTTTCTGTCCACCACACGGATGCAGGTGTGAAAGTCTGAAGAAGGTATCGACGAGACCCTCGGAAGATGCAAGCCGCGCGACATGCGTCGACGGGAGGACGCTGAACAGGAGCGAGGGGGGAAACTCCCAACGTCAGCACGATATTGCGCGCCTCCTTTTCAAGCCTCCAACAGTTTCGCTGCCTAGTTCTTCCCGATGCTCACTCACCCACTCCAAATTGCCAACGCATCCCCATGCCGTCCTCGTGCTGTCCTGCAGCTTGAGCAAACAGGTTGATCCCAAATCATATGATGCTGGTTACAGGGCTGCGAGCAGATTGCGGTCTGCTCGCTTGTTCTGGTCGCCGCCTCCGCTGCAACCTGCACTCGAAAAAGCCTGCACCCCGATGCCTGCCCTTCTCGACACCGCTTCTCGCGCCCAAATGGCGAGACTTCCGCTCGAGGCAGCCAAGTATAACCCCTGGTGCGCGGCTTGCACTGCGTGCTCGGATCTTGCCCCCCGAACACCCCCTGAAAGCCGCGCGCGACAGGCCACTGCAGCAAGGGGTCTCTCCTACGCGCAGCTGAAGGTCGGTTCGGGTCTTAACTCGGGGCTCCGGCGGCAATTCGGGCTGATCCTGGCACTCCTCGACGAAGCGCAGCTGATGGAAAACAAACCCTGGTCCCGACACCTTGCAGATTTTTTTGGCTGTCGCAGCGCGGCAGAGGCGATCCGCGCGCGCGCTCTGATGGGGGTTTAGGGTTTAGGGTTCAGGGCACGCACTCACCGAACACGAAACGCGCAGATAGGATACGTCTCGTCGCCCGAGATCTGGGCCCCTCTTTGCCCCCGAGGCGTCAGGCGGGCCCGTGCGGCGGCGCCGCCCTCCGGGCGCGCCGCCCTCGGCGTGCGCCTGGGCGGCCCCCCGAGATCGAGACCGAGATCGAGGAGCACCCCAGCAAAAGACCCTATATCAGCTAGCGATATCAGCCAGCGTGGACCCCAAGCGGTGAGCTTCTGGCAGTATGTGTTGTGCGCTCTAAGGGGAACAATAGATGTGGCGCCAATTAACGTGGTAACATATATGTTGCGCAATGAATGTTGTGCAATCGGTGTTGTGCAGTATACGTAATGCAATCTATGTGAAACACCACATGTATACATGTATCTATGTATATGTGTGTATATATATGTGTGTTATCTCATCTATATTGATGTATATGTGTTGTGTGTGTATATATATATATATATTAATGGTGCAACCGATGTGTAGAAATCTCTGTGGCGCACTATCTATACAACGCAACTTATTTTGTGCAGCTTATGTGGTGCAAACCATGTGGTGCAATTCGCCCTGCCGAGCGCCAAATTGTCAATTCCACTGCTCGCGCAAACATCCCACCCACCCACCCGCAACTTGGATTGCAAAACCCATTTGACGGCGACTGCGATGAGCACTTGGCGTTGGCTGGTTCATCTCTGCAGTTGCGCCAGCCCGCGCATGCTCGCGCGCGCAGCGACCAGCTAGTGTGGCGCGACCGACGCGGCCGCGGTGGTGCTGACCGCTGGGCACTTCCAGCGGGCACTTCAGTGCGAGTCGGTGACGTTGGCGGGCACGGTATCATGGCGACGCCGACAACGGTAGACACATTTATGGGAGTAGCGATGATGGACGACGGCAAGGCCAGTGACGGCTCCGATGTTGATCACGCCCACCGATAGCGATGACAATGTCCTTGCGTCGGTGATGGAGACTTTGGAAAAAAGGGGTTCGACATGCGCGCCCGGTCGGCGCGCGCGAGTGGCCCGCGTGGTGTTATTTGACACGGATCGTGCCCCCAACACGCGCGCAAGGGCGTTCGGATGAGTCCGACATGCGGCGCGAGGCGAATTTGGCAGAATTGGATGGCAATTTTGAAAAACAATGGGTTTTGAGAATTCGCCCGAGCGCGCGCGAATGCATTTTTTGAACACTGATGTTGCCGAATCATGTGTTTTAGTCTGTTTTCGGAACGCTCGTTTTTGACATCCTTACGACACTTCAGGTTTTGGAAGGTTTTGGCATGCGCGCGCGACGACGCGCGCTCGTGCACTTCGTCCCGTGTTTTGCACAAAGGGTTCTTGCGACAGCGCGTGCGCAAAGGCGCTCGAAGACTTCGGCATGCGCGCGCGAGAGGCCCGCTTGGTAGCATTTTCTGAAACAAATTGAAACACCCAATGGTTTTCTGACGGATTCGCACGAACGCGGGCGCAGGCTTGTTTTGAGAACCCTGGATGCGAAGTTGTTTTGTGAACTTATTTTGTGTTTTAATAATGTTGTGTTTTCGGGACATTCGATTTTGAATTCTCTACGACGCTCAAGGTTTTTAAAAGATTTCGGCATGCGCGCCCGACGATGAGCGCGTGTGCACATCGTCCATTTTTTTTTGCAAGGGGTTCTTGAACACGGATTATTTTTGATAAACATGTGTGCGCGCATCATATTTCTTGCAGCGGATGAATGGGGCGATACCGGCCTGCGTGGGATGCTAGGAATTCAGAATCGGACGGACGATGGGGCAGAATCGTATGTACATTGCGCTACGAAAAAAAAGGATACCGTTAAGTCCAGGGGTGGTGGTGGATCATAGCTCTTTCTTAGAAAACAGAACTCACCACTTGCGGAACGCGTAGTTGTCAACTCCACTGCTCGCGCAAACCCTCCACCAACCCACCCATCCGCAATTGTTTTGCAAAATGCGTACGGCGGCGATCGCGATGAGTGTTTGGTGTTGGTTGGTGCATCTCTGCGACCGCGCTAGCCCGCGCATGCTCGCGCGCGCAGCGGCCATCTGGTTTGGCGCGACCGACACGGCCGCGGGGGCGCTGACCTCTGGGCACTTCCCAGTGGGCACTTCAGTGCCAGTGGGCCACTTGTGCGGGCGCGGTATCATGGCAACGTCGACGACGGTAGACACGATGATGATGGTAGCGACGGTGGTGGCGATGATGACAACTGCGGCGGTACGGCCAGTGACGGCGCCGATGCTGATCACGTCGACGACGATGACGGCGTCTTCGCGTCGCTGATGAAGGTTTGGGAAGTTCGACATGCGCGCGCGGCTGGCGCGCGAGTGGCCCGCAAGATCTTATTTGACAAGGACCGTGCCCCCCCTGCATGCTTGCAAGGGCGTTCGAATGATGTCGAGGTGCAGAGCGAAAGGCCTGTTTGGCAGAATTTGATGGAGCTTGTGAATAACCTATGGCTTCGGACGAATTCGCAAGAGCGCGAACGCATCTTTAATTTGAAAACCGTCGTTGCGATTCTGTATATGTATACATGTCTGTATATATGTGTACAAGCATGTATATGTATTTACACATATATATATACGCACACAAACATATATATGTATATGTATATATATATATATATATATATATATATATATATATATACCGATCCGGCGTGTGAGTTTCAAGGAGTCTCAGCTACAGCCTCGAGGCTGAGCCTCAGCCTCTGGGGGGGTTGCCGGGGTGGCTCTGCCAGGGAAGGGGGGATGGGGGGGACGGGGGGGGCGAGTTTCCGGCGGATGCGGGGGGGGCTGCTTTTACAGAATGCTCTAATCTCGAGGATGCGCTAAAAGGGTGGCCGCGGCCGCAAAAGTCTCTGAGGACGGTCTAAGAAAGTCCCGAAACCCCGGAAGATCGCCCGAACACGCCCAAGATGGC